AGGCCTTTTCGCTCTTTCCACCCACGTCATTCAGATGATGGAACGCGTGAGATACGCGCCTATTCTGGAAAGTGTTGTTGGTAGAAGGCGCAGACGTGATGATGGAATCTCCTTCGAGTCTCGATCAACTGTTCAAATCGTCTTGTCCAATATTCTATCATGATATGCATCCGCATCGACGTCTGTCCAATGAAAACAACCACTCGAAGCCGTGCAGGATTCGCGGCTGCGCCATGCGATGGCTGGCGCTTCGAAGTGGCCATTGGATACCTGGACTGTCATTGACATGCATGCATGCGCTGTCGGTTAATGGGGTGATGCTCTGCAAAGATAAGTGTTGCTGTCCCCTCTTACTGCCAGAAGGTCTGGCATCTGTCGCACATCTAAGTATTTCCTGTTTGATTAATCATGTCCACCACATCACCACCACTGCAGAGGAAGAGAGACAGACTGAAGGGCATCCTGCCCGGGCGATCAAAGACCGTATCTCCAGGTCCTTCGCTGGTTCCCACGTCCTCGAGCTCTCTACAAGCTTCACAGCAATCTAGTTCGGCAGCCTCGGCACACCCGATCTCTACGCCATCCGCATCTGCTTTAACCATAGTATCAACACCTCAGCAATCAATACTGAGCGTTCCAACAGTGGCCCTACCATCTACAACATTCAGTCCCTTAGCCAATCCTGCCTTCCTCGCAGCGATACAAAAGCATCTTGACAAACTGCCAGAAGTGGAGCGACATGCGTTTTCTCATGCGAACACCAGTATCACGCTGGAAGGTCTCCTAGAAAGAGTAAGATCACTAGATACGCAGCATACCTCGAGGTCGTCATTTCGTTCTCATGCGGGGAAGGTCGCCAAATTCTTGAGCCTCTTAGATCGCTTGCTTGGAGGAATCGCTATTGCCATTCAGGCAAATCCCGACATCTCGTCCATCGTCGTTGGTGGCGTGAAGCTGATAGTCGACATCGCCATAGGGTTTACCAAATACTTCGGCAAGCTTACAGATATGCTTGATCGGCTTAGCGAAATCATCGCTCCCCTTGAGCGGTATGCACAGCGTTTCGAGCTGTTGAATGTCGGAAATGCTCTTATCGATGTCTATGGAGATGTTCTGGACTTTTGCAGAGCATCTAGCGCTTTGTTTTTGGACAAGGATGGTAAATCTAAGATACCGACTACGCTCAAAATATTCCTCCACACTCAATGGTCGCCTTTCGAGGCAGAGTTTGGTGAAATCGCCGGCCGAATGGATCGTCACTGCGGTGTTCTCTTGCATGCAGCGCAAGCAGAGTTGTTATATGCTAACAAAGGAAAGTATGTCCTTGTACTAACGTTCCGAAGCTATTCTGACTCAGCACAGTCAAGGAGAAGGAGAGCTTTCTACGCTGGTTGTCACCGCACGACTTCCAGCACAAGCAGAACCATACTTTCGCAACCAAGCATCAAGGTACAGGCGACTGGTTGTTGCAGACAGCCGAGTTCTTGCAATGGGAGAAAGCGACATCCTCTCAGCTTCTGTGGTGTTATGGCAAACGTGAGTCTCTCTAACCATCTGCTATACCCCGCTGACAGTGTTGTACAGCGGGTGCGGGAAAATCTGTTCTAGCGTAAGACTCATTCCTTGTTTCGTGTTACCACAACAAACCAACACGATCATGCCAAGATCTCATGTCATCAACCACATTCATCAGAAACATGTTGGAGAGCAGACAGGTCTTTGCTTCGCTTATTTCAAGTTCACGGACGCGGCCTTCCAGGACTTGACACTGCTAATCGCACTATTTTTGAAACAGCTTTGTCAACAACATGGCGCACTTCCTCAACAGCTAGTAGAAGCTAAGCAGGATGCCAGACAGCCCACTAGCCTGTCAGACATTGACATGTTTGCTAGTGTTACCAAGCCCTACCAACGAGTTTTTATCGTCATCGACGGGCTTGATGAGTGTCCGGAAGAGAGACGATCACCAATACTGGATTTCGTTATCGAAGTACTAACCAAGTGTAACTCTGTTGTCAAGGTTTTCGTGAGTAGTCGCAAAGAGTACGATATCAGCGACCGTTTCGAATGCCTCAACACACCTGCCATCGAGCTCGAGACCGGAAAAATCACTCCAGATATTCGAAGCTTTGTTCGACACGAAGCCTCGAGGCTTCGAACGAAGTCCAAGCTTCGTGTTCGAGATGATGCATTGTTTGAAGAAATTGTTCAGAGCATAATCGAGAAGTCGGACGGCATGTAAGCCCAAGCCTACATCGAACCTCGCCCATTCGTCACTGACTGTACAAGGTTCCTGTGGGTTAGCCTTCAGCTGCAAGAACTCTGCAGGATCAGCAGAGCAGAAAACGATCAGCAACTCAAGCAAGCGCTTAATCACCTTCCTAAAGGTCTTGTGGCAATGTATACTCGTATGCTTGATGAGATTGCTGGAGGTCCTGAACATGCTCGAAAGGTCGCCCTGGAGTGTTTCCGCTGGATCATATATGCCAAGGAACCACTACATGGAAATGACCTGAGAGTCGCTGTTGCACTTTTGGATTCACCTCGCACGAGAGAGGATTTGAAATCGCGGCTGCTGACAAATGCGTACATTTCAGAAATCTGTCGAAACCTGCTGCGGCTACCTGACTTCGATTCACCATACCGTTCGATCACTCCAATCCATTTCTCGTTCCTCGAATTTCTCCAGAACCTACCTCTGGACGGGCTTCAGGGCGGGTTTTGGAACCCTCTTATGGACCGACCTGATTCTGAAAGTGTTTTGGCATGCCGTTGCATGGATTTGCTGGTGCTTGCACTCCCGCCAATGTCTAAGATCGCGATATCCGGAGCCCCATATTATGGAGATATTCAAGTCGCTTGGCCGGATATAGACTACTCAATCAGGTTCTTCGATAAACATGCAACACGTGGCACGAGCGAGTCTCTACAATCTCCCGCTAAGCTGTTGGTAAGCACCAACCGACTCCTAGGTGCGGATGTCGAGAAACTTGCCTGGTTGGTACGATGGAGGTTGAAACAATTGACAATAGGGCAGAGAACATCAGGCTGGGACTTTGATGAAGCACTCTCAAGAAATTATCTGCTATGGACTTCGGATCTCTATCTCCTTCCAGGACTCGAGAGTGGTTGGACCCGGCTTGAGATCACAAAGTATGCACTTCACCTTGTGGTCTGGCGTCGTCCTGGGCAGTTAGAACACTTGCTATCTAACGGCCACTGCGCAAACCAGCTTGAAGAGCACGGTCGAACAGCTTTGTGGTATGCGTGCGACCTTGAGCGCATATCTTCTGTCGAAACCCTCTTGCGCGCAGGTGCCACGCTTGGCACAGATATAGACGGTGTATCCCCATTAGAGCGTGCCATCCGGAGAAATCATTTCGAAATCACGCAACTGTTGCTGCAGGCGAGCCCTCAGTCAAGTGCCTTGCTGGGACCCGATGGTCAAAATTTACTCATGATGGCGTTCAGTCTTGAAATGGTGCGATATCTGTGCGAATTTCACAGGGCCGACATTGATGCCACTGATCGTGTCGGGAGATCAGTGCTCGGCTATTTCTCTGGTGCTAGAATCCATTGGTATGGTCGAAATATAGACCCTGCAGAGGCGACCCGCATCTTTGAGTACCTAGTTGATCGAGGAGCCGACCTGTATACCAAATCCAAGGCTGGAATGACTCTCATTGATTATGTTGCGTTTGATGGAGGTTGCAGGGGACCACTGAGGTTCCTCTTGCAACGAGACATAAGACTGGTCAAGAAAGAAGCTTACGAATGGACTACTTTGCACTGGGCTTGTAGTAGACTTAATCTCAGGATGGCAAAGAAACTCCTCGAGCACGGACTGGAAGTGAAGGCGATCACAACACTCCAGCCTCCTCGAAGCTGGACACCATACGATATCTTGATACAGGCCGGCTTTCAGCCTAATTCAACATGGCTTGCAAATTACGGATCTGACGAGTCGATACTAGATGCGCTTGGCCGATCCAAGGAGATTATCGTCGGTACTACGCTGCCGGGACGTCAGGTCGACTATAGCCAGTTGATGGTCAAGGAGCTCGAGAGATTCACGTTGTGCTACTTGTGTGCGAGAGCAATTGAGGTATGCGAATCCTGTTGTCCTATGAAGAATGTCATTGCTAACCTACGCAAAGGAGGACTTTGTGTTTGAACGCGCAACCTGCGGTCACGAGATTTGCTTCATGTGCAATCACAACCTGCACAACAATCATCCAGATCATATCCTCGAAACTTCCTACCAAGGCTGCATTGGTACTCTCTGGATCCGGCCTCTTGTTGGTTCATGATGGCGGCTGACATGTGTCAATAGCACTCCGTAGGAGAAGCATGGTTCTCATGATCAAACTTCCCTATGCATTCGATCTACGATGTCCCGACTGGCAAGATTGGCTCAGGAAAACGAAAGAGAAGATGGCCCCAGCGGACGAAAGATAAGCGTCGGGATGAATACCGCAAAACGAGAGTGGGGCGGGAGCGGAAGCCGAAGGTCCATCGAACGACCAAGAGCCACAGCAGCTTTCTCCGAGATAACACTTCGGCTATTGGAGGCTTGAGACCTCTCTCATATATCGTCCAAGCCGTACACGACATTGGACTTTAGGGCCAACCATGGACTTTCGGTATACACAGTCGCGACTGCTCTCTTCTCTTCCACTTCTTGCGGTTTAGATGTGGGAGACTGCATTTTCGATTACGTCCTCTATCTGACTGGACCGGCTTCTCCGCCCTTTTTGTGCTTCTCGAATTGATTCTTCATTCTCGTTACTAACGTTCCTCTAGGCCTCCGGCGAGTCGTCTCTCATTCCTCGCAGCCATATGCTGTTCATGCAGCTTTGCATTTCTCTCGCTATCATTCGAGTGATCTCGGCTGTCCTCGCGCGCCTTCCTCGACTTCCGGCGTTGTTCTCTTGCTCGATGACCTGCATCAAAACAACTACGTTCGTGTGCATTTTTTTTTTTGACGCATGCGACTGAGCTCAGACCAAATTGCCTCTGGCCTCCTGCTCTCTCTCGATGGCCTCGAAGAGCGACTTGAAGTTACCAGCACCAAAGCCGTCGAAGTTGTTACGCTGGATGATTTCGATAAAGACAGTAGGGCGGTCCAGCACATGCTGTGAGTTCAAAGTTAGTTGTCCGTTCGAGATCAAAGCATTGTCAGTTGCACTTACTTTAGTAAACAACTGTAGGAGATAACCGCCTTCATCAAAGTCAATCAAGATGTCGAGACTGGCAAGGACGTCAAAGTCCTCGTTGAGCTTCATGCCGGCAGCATCCAGCCTCTGCTTCATGGACACGTAGTAGGTCTCTGGCACTTTGATGAACTCCATGCCTCTGGCCCTGAGGTTTCTGATAGCAGTGACGATATCAGTAGTTTTGAAAGCCACGTGCTGGACACCAGCGCCACCGTAAAAGTCAACATACTCCTCAATCTGAGACTGCTTCTTTCCTTGTGCAGGCTCATTGATGGGCATCTTGATAACTTCATTGGGAGAAGCCATGACCACCGACTTGAGCGCCGAAAACTCGGTGCACATTTCCTTGTCATCAACAGACCAGAAACGGTGGAAACCGAGGGCTTTTTCGTAGTAGGCGCAGACGTCATCCATTTCGTTCCAGTCTTGGTTGCCGACGCAGTGGTCGATGGCTTCGAGGGTCACAGGTGGGAGAAGCAGGTTCAGGGGNTCCTTTGCCGTGGGCTCGAGGCGGAAGCCAGGGAAGAAGACGCCGCGGTAGTTTTGGCGCTCGATTAGGGTGTGCGTGGTTTGTCCGTAGGTTTGGATGGTGGCGGTCTTGACGTAGCCGAGCTTGCCGTCGTGAAGGGTGTTGGGGGCTTTGATGGAAGTTGCGCCTGCCGAAACTGCGGCATTGTAGATTGATTCCACGCAGTCGACTTCGAAAGCCACGTCTGGTGTTCCTCATCAGTAAATTCTCAAAACCAAAAGATCTGGAGCAAACAAACCTTTGACGGCATCGCCATGGGTCTCAAGATGCTTGTGCACTTCTCTGACCAATTCTCTCTCGTCCTCGGGGACATCGTGCAACATACTCAGGCCACGCAGAGGNGAAGTCAAGACGAAGGTGACGCCTCCGTTGCGCACGACGTAGGAGGCGAGTCCTCTAGACCCGGTCTCCAAGCCTCTGTATGCGATCTTCTCGAAGCCCATGCGTGCAATGTAGTAGGCGGCTGCTTGTTTGGCATTGCCCACGTACCAGTGCACGTGGTCATAGCCTTGGTAGGAAGACATCTCTGCTTCTGTTGATGGAGGAGGAGGCGATGCTTCACGAGGTGGTGACAAGGCGATGGGCGCCATGGTTGTTGATGTTGTTGGTGGATGCTGTGGTAAGTGAATGTTGTGTAAAGTTGTGGATGGGGTTGGTGCGACAATAACAACCGCGTCAGACTGCTTCAAAAGTGAATGCGAAAGCTATATATCAATAAACCATCACTCGTTGACCTTTGTGATGTAGATATATCGTTTCAAGGTCATGAGCTCAAATAGTGAGGCGGAAGGCGGTCCGTTAGCTTCTGTCGTATTACGGATGCCTTGATCACCGTTTGGGAAGGAAGGTGTGGGGTGGGGTCCCGGTAAGCTTCTCGAAGGCGGCAGTATTCCGCTCTCGACAACACAAGTGATGTGAGATACGGGAAGGCATGGACAACATGTGAACTGTCGTGGTTAGGAGTAACACAAGCACATGATGGGAGAGACACTCTTAGGTATCGTAGCTTTGAGAATTTCTTTTGCCATGGGCTTCTGCACGCCTCCTGAGTGTTCGATGAGAACCATCTTGTATCTCCACAACGTGAAATAACCCTTCCTGACCGTCTTGTCCCCTCTGCCCTTGTTGAACGATGTCAAGTCTGTGGAGAGTTCTTCTCGTTCAGCAAAGCTGACCTGCCTTCCACTCCTCAGTTTCCTTCTTCAATGCCTCCTTGACGATAGCACCGCACATTTTGGCGTATGGGTTGGTTCTCACAGCCATCTCGCGTGCTTCCTTGCTTCCATATTGGCCTCCAGCAGCAAAGTCCTTGCTTGCTTGCTCCTCGACACTTTCCGCAGAAGCCGATTGAAGTGTGTCGCTGACACCATGAACTTGCTCGCTTTTGCGGATGATGTCGGCGATCTTGAGTAGCAGGAAGCCGCGGTGTGTGTAAGCAGCTGCAAGAACAGTAGACTGATGGGTTGAGAGTTGTTGGTTTGTGTTGGTGGGTCCGGCGAGCTGAATGCCCTTCTGAAGGTCTTCGAGCAACTGTCCACTTGCTTCGGCATGGTTGTATGTAAAGAGATCGCCGGTCGGAATGAGTAGTCGGCTTGCTTGTGCGCGGTTTATGTACGCAGAGGCGTAGCCTGGCGACTCCTTGATCAATGATGATAGATCTTGGATTGCTTTCTGAACAGTCTCTGGACTTGAAGTGTCGTTTTGCAGCTGTGAGATGATTTGAAGTTCAGTCGATCTGCGCTCAGAGAACTGATCTTCCGCCATTCCCGGCAGTGATGTCTGTGATGAGGCATGCTTTGTAGGGGATGCGGTGGCTTCTGGGTCGAAGAGTGACTTGAGAACGAAGGAGTCGCGTGTCGTTAGACCAGGCATTTTGTCGATTGCGATGATTTTGGTTTTTGATGTTGACGAATGTGATAGTAGCAGGGGTTCGCTGACTATTTGCTTCTCGATGTGAGCGTGTCGTTGTTTACCGAGAGTGTGAACACGGATGCGGCCCGGCTGGTTCATCACCCCGCTCTGTGTGAAGCTGGGGAAGGAGCGATGCAGTCACCACCACGGAACAACTTCCGCGACTAGATCCTGCAAGGTGATTGAATGCTCACTGCTGCCTTTTCTGGCTTTAACAGGGTGGGAGATCTGATATGGCTGTCTTGTCTCTCACTAGCAAGTGTCCGCACTTCAACACCTCGGGATAAATAGTAATATTTGAGTAGGGAAGTCCTCGCTCATCTCAACTCTTCCGGACAATCTGGCTGATTCTGCCAATGCGATCTCTTGAACGAAGGATGCTCCTTCAGCGCGCCATAAATCTTACAGATGGTCGGGAAAGGTTCGATCGCCACTTGAAACTTCTCCGCATTCCACAGAGCAGGTACCAGACAAACATCAGCAAGAGTGATCGTGTCACCGCAACAATATTTCCCAGCTGTGTTGCTGACCACACCCTCAAAGGCTTTGAGACCTCTCTCGGTGAATAACTGTGCCCAAGCCAGGCGATCAGCTCCAGAAGACTCGGCGCGCTTCATAAGTGTGTCGTTGGTTGGTGGTTGAGTGTCGGCAACGATGATTTCTGCCAAGGTGCGAACATCTGCCCTTGACTTTGCATCTGCAGGAAGAAGGGAAGGCGAGTCTGGGTAGGCTTCTTCGAGGTATTCTAGAGCCGCCATAGATTGCGGTATGCACCATCCATCGTCGACCATCAGAGTTGGCACGGAGCGTGAGGGATTCTTTGCATTGTATTCGTCTTTGAGATGCTCTCCATTGTTGAGGTTGACGTAGACGGGCTTGTACTCGATGGCCTTCAAATCAAGGGCTATGCGAAGTCTGGCCGCGCAAGATGACCGATAGTATCCGTAGAGCGTGACACTCGCCATCAGAAAGAAATTGGCTACTTTGCTGTTTGCTGTTTGCACAAGGGGGAGGTATGGGATGTAGTCTTGGTAATTCTTGAATGCAGGCTGAGCGACCGAGCAGGCTACTGTGAAGGAATGAGGGGTATCCGGCAAACGTGACTTGATCAAATTGGGCGTCGAGCGGGCAAGAACGAATTCTCACCCGAGAGCCAGCGCAGCGATAGACACTGAACGGACGTACACGATACTAGTGTCGAGCGAAATTTGCATAGAGTGCGCTCATCTAGAGTCCTCATCCGACGATCGTTCTTCATCCTCGATCAACGCTTCCTAGCACCTCTGGTACAGAGAATCCACACCCTGTTGAACAGCGTTCCAGTCCACCCAGTCATACGGGCTGCAATACCAACTCATAAATTCAGGCAGGCTGTCGTAATAACCGGAATCGTGAAAGTCGAAGTTGTTGATAAAAATCCTCCATTGCTATAGGGCATCAAGCCCCTCGAGGTCTTTGCAGAGGAAATAGTGTATACAGCAATTCTGATCGTTGTCACCTGCCTTCCAGCCAGCAGCAACTTCAAACCCCTCAGAGCCGGCAAACTCGCACATCTTATCCAAGGGCTGTGCTTGTTCGTGTGCATCGTACAGCGCCGTCGCGAAACTGCAGACAAACAGTTGTCTATCGAGGTTCGGATAAGCGACTCCGCTGGTGTGCCTCAGAAATTCGCAGAATTCGGCCGGTAATTCGAGAATATCTGCCATGCTACCTAGCAAGTCTCTGGACGCGTTCTTACGTACAGCGGCGTCCAAGCTTGGCAAGAACTGTGTAGTGTAGTTGTTCGAGCCTGTCATTCGTGGGCAGATGCCAGAATCATCACCAAGGCGAGACTGAGCTCTATACTCGTCAAGGCTGGTAATCTCGGGCATGTCCCATCTTTTAACATCCAGGACCTCCGACGTCTCCATCTCCAGGTGTGTCGCTAACATGTCCAGGTGCAGTTTTTCGTCGCCTTCCGTTTCAGCAATCATGTCCAGTACTCTCGAGAGAATCCGTTTGTTGTTGTCACGCATGTGATCGGCAAATTGTGACAGGAAATTAGCCATGGCCTCGGAGCGTTCGGTAAAGCTGAGCTTCCTGAATTCATCTTCAATCTCAACCAGGAGACTCATACTGCAGAGAACAAAGCACGGAGAGGTCGCGAAGGTTTGTACGGAATGTGTTGTATTGCTCTGACCTGGTACCCTACCAGTATCTGAGCTTGAAAGCTCGAAACGCGATCGATAATAGCAGGACTAGTGTATTGTCTCCCAAATACCTCACGCTGGTGCCTAGTGCCTGGTGTCATGGTTCATCCTGAGACAACAAGTTTCGTCTAGACATTGGAAGACTCAAAAGTGTATGATCTTTCGGAGATGATCGCCAAAGGCTATAGTCATGCTCATGCTGAGTTTCGGCACAAGCAAAGGAGTTTTCTCGTGCACGAACGCTCACAGTTATGTTCCACAGTTGATTGAGGACAGACACTCAGCCAGAGCGATAAGAGAAAAGACGCACGCAATCAAACTTCACCACTTTGGAAGACCGGGGATTTACCGTATCAGATTAGGAAAACCATCCCCGATCGGGTTCCTGCCGCTCTCTGTTAACCCCCATAACGCCGCTAAACCCGCGATTTGGCTATGAATCTCGACAGATTGTACACCTCAAGACTGCGGAGTAGACCGGCCCGGCACCGGGCCTGTCCTGTAATATTCCTCCAAATCTGCTGCTTGATGGACTGAGACCAGCCTGACCAACGCTCGGAGATAGGACAAATGAACAAGGTTACGCCGCTGAGCCCGCGGGTCATCGTCGAACTCGATAGCGAGTTAGTGTTGTATAAGAAGACATGTGCGCTTGCGGCTTTTCTCCTCCAATAATCACCGCTCGACTATTCCCACCATAATCATGTCGAACATGCAAACTCCACCTGACGTCGCCGACCCGAGTACTTTGGGTTGTTACCAATCCTCACAAACTGCTCTGCTCCTGCTCGACTTCCATTCTCTATTCGTAGAGAAAGCTGGTGGTCCAGGCGCTCCTACCGCGTTGGCTACCGCGGTCAAACTAAGGATCTGGGCAAAATCGCAAGGCATCATGGTCATCCATGCCCTGCTTAATATCGACAAATCGCCTTACCCGACTTGTAAGGGTGCAGATCGACTTTCTGCGGTCCTCAATGCTATGAAGTCCAGTGGCGGTGAAGAGCCCGAAGAGCTGTTACACAACTATGACGACGGCGACATCACCTTTACCAGATCACCCGGTCACGTCTCGGCTCTCAAGTCGCCTGGTCTACAAGACTATCTGAAAGAAAAGGGCATCAAGTCGCTGATACTGACTAAAGTGAGCACTTCTGGATGTGGTATGCGGACTGCAGTTCCTGCTACCGATGACGAATATGTGGTCACAATCATCTCCGATGGCTATGCCGATGCAGATAAGAACCTTCACGATGTTTTATTGCAGAGGGTGTTGGCATCCAGGGCGTATGTGACCACTGCAGCCGAATTTCAGGAAAACTATATTTCGTCGATTGATCAATGAGAACGACTACAGTCCAATAGCAAGGGCAATCAATGAAGCTCTAGAGACAAATACAAAGGACACCGAACATATTACAACTCGCAGTAAACTCATAGCACTCCTCCGTAATCTTCAATTTGTTCAATCGACCAATCTCGTGCTCAAGGGAACATCATCGGGCTTCGTTCTTGTTTGGCATATTTCAACAGACGATCGCCGTTGTATGGGATGCAATCCGGCGCTACCTCCTGTTCGGGAGGTAGTCGAGGATATTCAGTACACGGTAGCAGTAGAGTTATCGATGATAAGACAGGAAGTACTTCTACTTGCGGCTTGCATTACAGTCTCAGTAATCGCTGTTCGTACAGTCTCTGTCCGTACAATCGCTATCCTATTCTTCTTCCTCAAAGGCTTCTTTGCACTTCCAATGAATACTCTCGATGCTGTACTGTACGCTGTCCCAAGGCACTTGATCGTACCTGCTGCAATACCAGTCCAGAAACCCAAAGAGGTCGTCAAAAGGCCCTTGCCAGTCAGGACACTCCCAGTTGTTTACGAAAACTCTCCATCGCCAGGGTTCATCTGGCTCATCGAGACGTTGGCATAGAGCATAGTAGATGACGCAATGGTAGTAGTTTTTGCCCGCTAGCCAACCTGCCGCGAATTCGAAGTCGTACCTTCCGCCAGACCATTCCGTTATCTTATCCAATGGCTGTGCAAGTTCATCAGGCTGGTAATGTTGTGAAGCAAAATCACAGTAGAAGCTTTCGCGCTCGTAATTGGCATACCACAACCCTCCACATTGTTTGCTGAACTCTACAAACTCAGCAGGGAGTTGCAGGTTGTCTACTGCGGCATCCCCCAACAGCTCCCTGGATGCATTGTTGCGCACGGCAAGTTCGAGATCGTCCAAGAAGCCTGTGAGGTGGTCCGGTAGTTTCTCGGAATCTGGCCACGAAGCCAGNGCCCCGTCCTCCGAGGTAAAGTCGCTGAGTCGAGTAATGTTGGGATCCCAGTCCTCAGTGGTGTTCTCGAGTGCGTCGGTACGAGTCCTGGCTTCAAGTCTTCTAGTTGTGTGTCTGTCCAAGTGTGTTGCTAGCATGTCGAGATGGAGTTCTTCGGTGCCGTCGGTCTTTGCAATGGTGTCCAGTACGCGCTTGAGGATGCGCTCGTTGTCGTTCTTCATCCGTTGCTCATATCGGGCAAGAGCCTTGGAAATGATTTCAGAGCGTTCCGAGGGACTCAAGTCGCCAAAGGGATCATATATCTCGGCCGGTAGTTCCGAGGTAGACGTAGTCTCTGAGCATTCGGATTGGCTGGACTCATCGACGCCAGAATCTTGTTCAGCTTCCTGGGCATCCATGTGATGATTTAGGGCAAGGATAAAGATGAAAAGGTCAACGAAGCTGTACTAAAGACGTGGATACTGTGAGCAAAATTGAAGAAATTCTTCACGTCTATTGTTCAGATATGAAGGCTGAGGCCAAGGGCGACCGTGCCCTAGGCAGCCGCTTCATGTTCTCATCGTCGACGACACTACACTTCAGTGGCCTAACACGCCAAGAGCAAGCTATTCGTGACTATAGGCAACCAGGACATAAATTGGCAACGCTGTTGACTGGGACAGGGAGTTTCACCATGTGAGATTTGGTAGACACGAGGGCTGGAAGAACCTCGGCAAGCGCGAGCCTGACGCGTGATTGACTCGTGCGTCAGAAGCCAACCAGTCTCGGATGTGGTTCACAAACATAACTTCTTCAAGCTTATCGTCCTTGCAAGACTTTGACAGGTATACCGTCATGAAGTCTTCAAGGTACTCGTCATCAAGGCAGAAGGCTTGTGATCGTTGCAAGAGGGGTAAGACAAAATGCGACAAGGATCCCACAGGCTGCTCCAGGTGTAGGCAGCGAGGTCTCTTGTGCACGTACTCGCAGGATGTAACGATACATGATACACCTTCCTCCAACTTAACCGACGATGCAGAGGTGAACCCACAAGAAACTACCTTGTCTGGGCCAGACATGTTGGGAGATCATCAGGCACTGCTTATAAGTGACGTGTCGTCTATGGGAAGGCAAGACAGGTCGTCTCCTAGAAATAGGCCTCCTGCGTCAACGCCGGTGGCAGATGCTCCGTCTCATTCGATGACGAACCACTTCGACTTTTCAGCCCTAAATCTTGTCTGCACCATAAACGTCGACGACATAGCGTCACGATGGCTAAACACCTATGTACTTTTACCAGGCCAAATCGTCAAAAACTATCCGCCCAGTATCTCGAACCTCATCAATCGAATGCTAAAATCCTATGCCGCTTCAGGCCGTTCGTGGTCACAACGCTCCTCCCTTCATCCACTTCTCCCAAATCAACGATGTATATCCATGCCACTAGCGACATGTTCGAATATGGTGCGTATATGCCAGAACCCAATACCGGGCAGCCAAGCCGCAGCTGCGGAAATCTCGCAGCAAGAAATGTCGAAGCTCTACGACAGACGAGCGCAGTGTGGTCCTATGGAGCTCTTGGCTTCTTTGCAAGCTTATCTGCTATATGCAATGGTCTTATTTCTGCGATTGAAGCAAGCGTCGACCCCGTTTCTTCGGCAAGCCATGATAAATCTCCAGGATCTAGCTTGGTCGACGACACGTCATGGAGTCCTCTGTCTGGCGGAACAACAGCATCTGCGTCCAACCTGGGAAGAGTGGATAGTGACGGAAGCCAAACGCCGAACACTGTATGTCATGTACATGTTTGACGACGTGATATCCAAACAAGAAGGCATACCTACCTTTCTTGGGGTCGAACTGGTTGGGTTGCCAGCGCCTGGAAGCAAGTCTCTCTGGAGTGCGGATACAGGAAGGAGCTGGCAGGAGAGCTATAATTTGCACCTGGTTGATTGGCCCGAGGGTGGACTCCGTATTGATGAGTTGTGGGCGATACCCCTAGAACTAAACGAACAGGATATCGTACGAAGTCTTGCTCCAAGCTCAACTCCGACGGACCATTTCTCAATTTTGCATACGACTATTTGTATTTAAACCCTTTTTCACGTTATAATGTCTTGATTGAATTGTCATTATGCTGAGGTCTCCGAACACCATGGCTCAAAATACATCGTCACGTGCTCTAAACTCACCTCCATCCGCTGCCTATAGCATATTCGACAGAAGACAGAAAGCCATCATAATTCTGATCGTTTCAATCGCAGCAACTTGTATGTTAACTTGTCGACTCTCTTCCACGGCTTCCACTTCCACTCACAATGGACAGTCGCGGGATTTGCCTCCGATATTTATTTCCCGGCCATCCCAACCATATCTCACGACCTCGACGTCTCCATCGAACTCATCAATCTGAGCGTGACCGCCCATCTCATATTCCAAGGTTTAGCACCAAGTCTATGGGGTCCTATATCAGACGTCAAAGGTCGCCCAATCGCCTACATCGGTACATTCCTCGTCTTTCTGGGATCATGTGTTGGACTAGCATTGACCCGCAATCACGCAACTCTGATTGTGTTGGAATGTTTGCAAAGTGCTATCGCCGCAGCTACCGGAAGAAGTTCAAGTCGGCTACCAAAAGGAGTCGAGAATTCAGAATAGCCGACCAAGACTTTGCTACGATGTTTGGCTACGGGTGCATACCTGGAGGTGAACCTGGTCGTTTCTGCTGTCCGAGCCATCGGCACTGGCCTGTCCAATGCTCAATGGGCTGGTTGGAGATGTCGGACAACTTTGCTCAGCAGGACATAACAATTGAAGGATGTCCTCACGTGAGTCCCTGAATGCATAGTATTCTGGCGTCCTTCCGGAGCTGTCCTGAGCTTCATGATCTGCAGCAGAAGCCAAAAGCAGTTGTACTGTTTCCGGACAACCTTTAAGAGCTGCCACATGAAGAGGTGTAGTCTGGTCATTGCCGGCAAGGTTGACATCAGCGCCCTGATTGACTAAAAGCGCGGCTAAATTCGCTTGGGCCTTTCCTGACGCTTCAATGAGCGGGGTCATACCCCGATCATCCTGTTTGTTAACATCAGCACCTGCTTCGATGAGTAACTTGACACATTCGAAACTGTTGGATACCACACTTTCATGCAGCGGAGTCTGAAGGTTCTTGCGCCGCGCATTCACCTGAACTTGTTGATCTAGCAAGAACTTGACTGCATCTGCATGGCCAAATCGCGCCGCGGTATGCAGTGGTGTGCTTCCGAGGTCGTCTTTCACAGACATCACAGCCCCAGCCGTCACCAGAATCTGCATCATCTCAGTCACGTTAGGGATCCTGCCTGCATTACGGATCACCAAATGCAGAGCTGTTCTGCCCTTGGCGTCCTGGATGTTGACGTCGGCTCCTCGATCCACCAGGAGCTTTACGACCTGATCGTTTGCAAATGTCGTCAGAACTCTCGATTTTGGCTGTTGTATTGCCCACATCAATCCAGTTCGCATGCTTGGATCTTCAGGCGAATATTCATTCAGCTTCTCTCGCGCTAGCGAATGCTTCTTGACAAGTGGCGTGATCCCAAGATGGCAAGCGATATGGAAAAGGGATAAACGAGGTTCATTACCATAGTCCCATCCAAGCAAGCCTGGGCTATCGTGGCGATACTCCTCCCACCAAGTATCACGAGCTTCAGAGCTTTCTCGATAGAACGATCTGGAGTCGTTGAAAGAACAAAAGTCCGCGCTTGCAGAAGCGCATAAATGCTCAAACCAATACCGTCTCGCATATTCGTGCAGATGTGAGGCACTAGCCGAATTCTCTAGTCGATCCAGCAACGTCTCCGCAACCACACTGTGTGTACGGCTTTCGACAAGCTGAAAAATCGCCAACTTTTGTGGCAGCTGTCCAGTCAAAAATCTCTGACAGATTGATGTGGGAAGCGAACAACCTTGTGCAACCCTGGCCCCGAGGTCTGCAGAAGACTTTTGCAGTCTTCAATATCCGACTCAAGTGAGGCCACTGGACTTGGATATCCCATAGACCCGCCCTTCTTGTCTACTGCATCTGCTAGCTCCGACAGAGTCATAGGCCGAAATGCAACTGCAACCCACTGAATCACGTGCATTGCCGCAGAACGTTGCTCGAATGGTATCTGTTGCAAATTTTTTAGGTAAAGTTCTTCAAGACCAGCAGGCAAGCTCTTGAGCATCTCCATAATCTTAGGCGGGGTGTGTCTAGAAGCCTCTGAGCGACGTAGCCTACCCATAGGAACGTTCCCTCAGATTTGTTTGCCAGAACATCGCGTGCGTACGAGCATACTTCCGGCTCGCATTTCATCGCGAGAATCTTGATTATGGCGCTTATGAATAAATCCAGATCATGCGCAAGATATCTGCAGACTTCGGGATCTTCATCCAAAGAAATACACTGGGTGTGTTCCTGAAGCTGGAGACCTAGTTCATCCTTGGGCACCTCTCGCCCGACCAAGAGAAGGCTCAGCCGCGATCTCCCCAGTTCGTTGGTACACATCCCGATGATTGACTTTATCAACGAATGGTCGCCGTTCTTTTTGCACTCATCGAATCCATCAATCACGCAATATACGTGTATAAGCGTCTCATCTTCAACCATTGCTTTGAAGCATGACCAGAGGGTCCAGAACCGCAAAAACAGTTGGTCGTGCATTATCTCGAATTGTTGATCAACGTATCTTCTGAGCCGCGGACAAAGGTCGATCAATTGCGATACCAGTCCTTGCAAAATAGCAAGGTCGTTGTTACAGCGCTCATCGCCAGCTTGGCAGAAGTAATACAGAGATATCCGATCTTTTGGTTGTGAGCGACATTGATCATCATGATGTTTGGTCAAAAATATGCTCAACATGGTTTTGCCCTTGCCCGGTCCTCCAGTAATCCGCAGGAGTTGTGAGGGGACTTCTTCCATGCCATATAACGCTTGTCGCGCAAGATCCATGAACACGTTCCTGGATTAATTCCGCCCTTCCTCGATCCCAGCGACTCACGCTCATCACTCGAGACGATCCCGTTCGCTTGAAAGAGAACGCTTCTCGGTGTCTGTCGGCTGACGTGCGGTGTTGACTGGAAAGCGACGTTGTTCTGAGTGTAATTGGTCTGGCTTTGGATATTTGTCTCGTGCCGATCGCCGAGCGAGGCTTGGGCCTCACCAAGGACGCTCACGTGCTCAAACCGATGCTGCGACATGATACTGATGCGTAACTACAATAGTGTTGTCTTGACATATCATGGACCGAATGCGCGGCTTCCAGAGGAACAAACAGAGTAACGAACTCTAGTCAGGATGTGCTATGACGCAGTTCACATGTCTGAGCCTCTTGCCAACCACACAGTCTCGTCTGATGGGCGCTTAATAGTGACCAATCCCAGACATAGACTTCGAAGGATT